GGGAGTAACACCACAATTACACACCCAGAAACCCATACACACACACACACACACACACACACACACACACACACCGGTAGCTACAGTAAAAGCAAAGAGAGTGCACTGTATCTGAGGAGAGCTGTCAGAGTTAATCTGAAACCTCAAAACAGAATGGTGCAGGCTGCAGCTACGGAGACATGAAGGAGTCGAACTGAAGGCAGCAGTGGGGGAAATATAAAAAGGACTGTTTCATAAATAGATCAGAATACAGAGACTCTTCTGCTGGAGAAGATTTTGGGCCTCAACGCATTTGGCATACCAACATAAGCAGGGGAAGGCTCAACATACCAGCCATAGCCTCGGATACAGGAAGAGGATTTGAGACACATTCTCTACAGGCTGAATGTGTGCATGTGTGGATCCGTCATGGAGTAGGCTTATGTAGGTGTGTGTGTGTGTGAGGGGGTGGGGGTGGGTGGTGGTGTTGGAGGGGGGGTCTGATAACCTGCCTGGCAACCACCAGAATAAACACCCTCCTGGTTATATGCGCCCTCACTTATCTCCCCCCCATCACCGCAGCCAGCGTTATATTACTCCAGGTGCACCGCATTGCCTATGTGGAGAAATACATGATGCTGTCGTTTCCATGACAACATTAGCCTTGTTTTAATCCTGCATTCAACACACTGGGCGGGTCCGGCGGTGACAATAGAGGGCTAATAGAGGGGAAACAGATAGACACGATTCGCCTTGTGTTTTCAGGGACTGTAAAGCGAATGGTAAAGGGCGCCTATATGGAGCTGAGGCCCGGTGGGTGGGCCCCTGGATGCTCATAACGCTGTCTGAACAAGGAGACACATGAGCCATGTTTAAGATGCTGCGATTCTTCCCTATATTATTAGCTCTTATATTCTCAGAAGATGAATGTATGAATGCAGATGGAGGCTGGAGGCAGAGGGCTGAGTGTCGGTGCGCATCTGTCATGACGCGTCAAACCGAGCGCATGGTGCTGGCCGCCGCTTACCTCATTTTCTCGTCTTTTTATTCAACCGGAGATGATGTGATGCACCGATGTGTAGGACCACCGGCCCGCTTATTTTTCTCTATACACAGTCTTGAATCGGCGTCCACCGTGTGTCCTTTGCGCGCGTCTGTATTAAGGGCTGACAATGAGTCGCGTTGCAGAAGCGCTACAAAGCGAGGACACGAGCGTTGTCTCCCATCCGCTTTGTGCTCCGTTGTCTCTGCTGTCCACACGCGCCGCCGCGTATCCTTAAGTCCATGTTCAGCCGGGGCTCGTGCTCGGTAGAAGACGGTGAACGGTGGTCGTCAGCCGCCGCCTCCCTCATGCCATATTTTCTTCCCATTCGGAGTGTTTTGGTGAGGTGGAGAGATTTGGGGGAAAATGCTAATACTGTGTGCGAAGGAGGAGGAGGAGGAGGGGAGAGGAGGGGGGGGGACAGGCCGGCTCAATGCTGCCTACCTGCGGCGAAGACGCACACATGCAGCCCACTGGCGCGCCCCCCCACCTATATATTAAAATACATGTATTCCTATATAATGTTCTGGTGCTCTACAGAAGCTTTAAGAGTGGCAGTCTGCTGTAGTATCTTTGAGATTCCCATAAAATGTAGTATGCATTATATGTACACGTCACACTGCTTATTGATTTTTGATACTTCTTAAAATAAAGATGTAAAAAAAGAAACATGCAAGACAATAAGAACTCATAAAGTGGGAAACAGAAGACACAGCCTCATAGGAATTTCATGTTGCATTTACTTTCAGACAAATGTTAAATGTTCAATGGTATTCTGCAGCCCCAAGTGTTTAGTGGTGAGACAAATCATGTTACATTCACTCTGTAGAGTGGTGATCACTGCTGTTAAGAGGATTTCACTGTTTTTTTTTCCTGATAAGACAACTCCCAACAATCAAAACCAACACGCCTCAAATCAGTGGCAGTTCTGGTCTTACTAATATCTGCTGAACTCCAATCAACGAAATCTTGTTTATTCATGCATGTGTCTAATATTGGCTTTATGTTATCCACGAGATGAGGAGGGTGACACGCTAGTACAGTAGGTGTAGGGACAGTATGCAGCCTGAAAGGTTGAAAGCAGACATCATTGGTTCATGAAAAGCTCCAGTAAGTGCTAAATGGTGATATGCGTGTGCAGGTAAATAGACCTGCTGTATGTTTATCAGGCTGAAGCAGTGCATTATAGTAAAAAAACCCCACCTCAAGTTCAATTAAATATCTTGCCAGTGACTGATGGTGCACATCAGACGTAAACAGTTACAGTGTAATGGTCTCTCCCTTCCCTTCCTAAACTGATCTGGGTGCAATAAAATGCAGATATATACACATTTGAAAAGGCTTCACGTCATTGAAAAACCCCAATACATGCTTGATTTTCATTTTCCTTGCACATCAAGATGGAGGAAAAATACAGCACTCTGAAACTGTTTCAAATACTGTATATTCACCCACATTTTTGTTCATATCTGTTTCAAGCCTCTCAGTATATTTACATATCTGGGACTAGGCAGGGATTTATTGTAAGAAAATAACTAAAAGGAACTGAAATTGGCAGTGGAGAATTTGATCAATAAATAATAGAAAAGGTGCATTTTTTAAGACCTGGAAGCACAAAAACAGAAATTGTTCAGATAATGTTGTGGGAAATGGTTAAAAATCCTAACTCTGAATCCAGATAATGACATTTTTCATTGCCTTTAAATAATTTACCCAGATGATCATAGTTTCAGACAGTGAGTATCATCACATCTAACTGGACTCCTGTATTCTCCTTGCTGTATTTAATTATCATGCCCACCAATTTCAGCATTTGCCTAGACTATATAGGTAGTTTTCATACACAATTAGTCAATGCAAATAAATCAATAATGGTTGGACAACCGCTCATATTAACCGTGGTTCATAATGCTCTGTATGTTTAGGTCTGGTTCTGATATGTCAGTGTTAATAACAGGGAAGAGTCCTGCTTCTCTAGGGCTTTCCTGAGTTGTTAAATACAAAATAAAAGAAAGTTTAACAATTAGAAAATCACTATGTTCTTTCTTTCCATACACAGTTTTTTGTTCCCATGCTCTTGGATCTCCAGCGCGATGATAATCAGCCGTGAACCTCTTCAGTCCATCATCTGTGGCAGGAACAGTGCAAGAACAGAGAAAGTCAAACTGTACGAATGCAGTCAGAAAGTCAGAGCCTTTGGTTCTGTCTAGTTGGATTTGATCCATTTGATTTGTTTTGTCTTATGTCATTGGTGAGTAGGCTACAGTACATGAGAGAGAGAGATTTTTTTTCTACATGTAGTGTGAATAAAGAAAAGGGAGAAATATTCAAAATGTTTGTATTTCAAGCAACCGCACATTACACCTCCAACAGTTCATCTCATTTGGGATCTGAGAGCAGATCAGGAATAAAAACCTCAGGTTCCTCTTCTGTCAATTCACTTCAGTTCAGGCAGATCCACTTTGTTTTTAGCGTCTGAGTTAATTTAAGTTTGGTTCAGTTCAGTTTAGTGCAGTTCAGTTCAGTTTGCTTCAGCTAGGGTTCAGGCCCCCAGCAGCAGTAATAAACCGACAGTATCTGTTTCTGTCTTGCTCCCCTCAGACTATCCTCCACTGCATCACGCTCATGTCCTTCCCTCCGGTTGACACCAGGTAGCTGTCCTCGTGCAGGAAACTCACGTTGGTCACGTGGCTGCTGTGGCCGCCATAAATATGGCTGGGAGCCTGAAAAGAAAATCCAAATAACTTTGACATCCTTTTGCCTTTTTTTCAACAGCTTAATCTCCTTCTTAACGTTACTGGGATGTATATTCTGCATGACATCTTACCCTGAATTGTGAACAGGGGTATGAGAATAGATGGACCTTCCCAAAGTCGTCTCCGGTAACCAGAAGGCTTTTATCATTGCTCCTGCAGACAGCGTTGATGTCAGTGCCGTCTGAGCCGTCGGGCCACAAGCCTGAGGAGCAGAGAGCAGTGGAAACGTCTATTGAATGTACATTAAAACTCAAGCATGCACCTGAAGAGGGAGAGGGGATGAGCCTTCACTTACCAAAGACGTGGAAGCCCAGAGTGCAAGTATTAGTGGCCCACTCGATATCTCTGGTGGTCTCCACACTGACCACCTGTTTACACACTGATGGGATCCCTGAGTAAACACACATAAACCAAATTCACATATATTAGTATCATGGGTATGGTTGCTTTAACGAAATCAACACTAGACCAGCGTTTATGTGTTGCGAGTCCATCCCACTCATGAGTCATTTTGACACATTTTTTAAATGAGTTTTCAGCACCTACTTCACAGCAAAAATCTGCTCTTGTCAACTCAGATTTTGATTGGAAAGTGTTTCCACTTAGAGAGTTAATTTGGTACAGTTTGGTAACACTTTATAATGAGGCTACAAAACACATTCTTAACAAACCAATGCATGAATCATGATGATTTAAGATTAGAAATGATTAAGTCGCTATGAGTTAATGTGAACTGTAAACTGATGCAGATATTGTGAGTGGCTGCCAATCTCCCATACATGTGTGCAACATTTCAAACATTATTTCATTCATCACACAATCATAAACCCATTAAAATATCAAAGGCTGTGAGAGGACAACAGTGATCATACTTACAATACAGTATCTCATAGTCCCCTGAATTTGATACCAGGTACTGGGAGTCCACTGACCAGTCCAGATGGGTGATAAAACTAGAGTGACCCTGAGATATGATAGAAAAAGAGCAGGTTAGATTATTTATCTTTACAGGCTCTTCATATTCCTGGAGCACAAGCTATAATAGTTTTTAAGAACCAGAAATAATCCTAACAATCTGGATTGGATGTGATTCAACAACTCTTCGTCATCATGTTTACGACATGGCACTATATGACTCAGCTTGTTGTCATTTATCATTTTATGGCTTCTTTATCAGCATACAGGGAGGACAGGGTGTACAGAGGGAAGGCCCAAATATAGAGGAGCTGAGAAGGGAACTAAATATAAAGTCAGTGCGGGGAGGAACTAAAAATAAAGGAGCCACAGATGAGGGGGGGGGGGATTAAAAATACAGGTACTCACCGAGCACTTCCCCACTCTGCTGTACTTCCTCCCATTTTCTGCCACTGCGTAGATATAGATGTAGTTGTCGTGGGAACCGATGGCCAGGAAGTTACCATCTAAATAAAATAAAAGAAGACAGGAAGATTAGTAGTAGTAAAATAAAAAAAAATTTAGACATTTTCAGAAGTTAATTTATCAGTTAAGATAAAAAACATATGCCAGGTGCAATTGTGGTATTATTGATTGTAATTAAGTATTACTCTCCAGAACATGAAATCATCATTTCACTTGGAGCTTTCTTGTTTTAAACAAATACAAGTTAAGCCTTTTTTGTATAATCCTCAATGTTTTTCCTTGACATGAGTATATGCTGTGCTGCTAATTTCCAAATAATATGAGGGAAAACATACCTGGCCCGTAGCTCATAACAGACAGCTGTTCATTCCCATCTGTGTGCACTGTGACAAGATCCTTAGAGTCAGTGTCCAGCACCAGCCACCTGCAGGATCAGTGACAGACTGCTCAACAATCTGGTTTTTCATCAATCTAATAACAATTAAAATCTGTGCTAGAGGATCGTGCCAATGTAACTATTAAGTTGAAGTCAGTTCAACACATTATATATTATATATTAATATATATATTTTTGCTTTATGATATTTCTATAAAATAAGTGTTTTTTTTTTGGTGATGGGATCCCCTCCCTACCTGCCAGCCTGGGTTCCTATGGCAACCACAGCTCCAGACGGATGAAAGCCTGCTGATTGGGCCGCATCCTGTCAGAAAAAGGGAAGAAGAGTATATTTAAAGTCCCCCTCTACTTGAAAATGTGTTTTTCTTATTGTCACTTCACTTTGACCTTCGCTGTGCAGAATGATGTACACACTGGGCACACACACAGGGAGTGGATGTTTCAGTAAAATGGGAGACGTTGTGTGTCTAGTAGTTAAATGTTGGAAATGAAAAATAATTGCATATTCATTAGATTTAGAAGTTTTAATTAGGTAATTGAACTTTTTGGGAAAAAATCTTATCAGGCACAAAATAGTATTATTAAATGTCATGAAACACGTCTGTAGAAGATATTTATTGAACAGTAAAAAGGAAATTATTAAACAAATTCGTGCTAAACTAAAACAGTGCATTTGGTAGATTATTGATTTGTACATTGCAGACATTTGACTCTGGTGGTTTCCATGTCAATCTTCTAAATTTGTGTTGCTAAATATGCAGTTCCTGCTGTTTCTCAAGGACAACTGATAAAATAGTGTCATGATTCATCATCTGTCGTGTGCTGTGTCGTTCCCATGACTGACCCCAGGGGGCAGTGTTGACTCAAATTACCTCCATACTCTTGGTCCAGATGATCTGATGGGAACTGGAGTCCCACAGGCAGACCTGTCTGTCATAGCCACAGGTAAGGAACTGAGGCTTCCAGGGGTGGACAGCCAGACCCCACAACTCATCAGTGTGACCCTGGAGAGGAGAGGAGAGGTTTTCTTCTTGTGCTACAACATCACAGTCTTTCAAATGTCAATCAAAACGCTTTATTCGTTCCAGTACTTCAGTAACATCAAAATAGAGCTACAATAATTGATGATACATCTTGATGATAAACTGAACTTGTGACTATTTTGATAATCATTTCACACTTTTTTTTAATAGTTTGCAAATATTATCTGGTTCCAGCTACTCCAGTTAAGAATTTGCTGCTTTTATCTTTGTTATTGATTTCTTTTATATCTTTTTATACTTTTGGGTTGTGAACTGTTGGTCAGATTAAACAAGGTGTCACCTTGGACTGTGATAGACCTTTTTCACTATTTTCTGACATTTCATAGACCCAACAATTCATTGATTAATTGCGAAAATAAGTCATTAATTACATCGTAGTACAAATGTATCTATTTACACATCTACCTGTGTAATAGGTATGAATTCTCCATCCAAACTGCCTTGCAGAACAAAGTGCTTTGTGGTCCCGATGAGCACAGTCTCCCCTCTGCCCTCTGCTATGGTCCGGATTGGACCAAACAACTCAGGCACCTGCAGAGAAAATATAATAATCATGTAAACCATCTGTTCACCTGTAATCCAGCATTTACCAGAATAAACATCAACTCATCCTTTACTGAATAATGTGGTCTCTTCAGAGCAAATAAGACATGAGTGATCCATAATTTTCATCACTATGAATATCCATGAATCTCACTGAGAGCACAAACCCATCTCATCCCCTGTAATATTTATGATATGGTGCAGTATTCAGAAAGCATAGTGCGCTGCCTCAGGCAAGAGAGCAATTTCTGGCTAATATAAGCAACCTACTTTAAAAAAAGGAGCTGGATATGCAGCTAAACATTTTATTAACAGAATGTGGGGATACCAGATCACATCATTAGGATGCTGTGGAGCTATACATTAAAAAAAAACATTCATTCCTGTTAATTAAATCATTTTAAAAGTATGACTTGTGTATTTCCCCCCTGAACTCACATGTGTTTTATATATATTTCAGGAAAAAAGACTGTCTGATTCCTATTGAACGTTTTCTCACCTCCACTGTTTGTATCTGCTGGTAGCTGCTGTCCCAGGAGACGAGCCTGCGGTCTTTGCCTCCAGACACCAGCGTGCCGTTCCTAAGCATGGACAGAGCAAAGATGCTGCCCTCGTGTGCTCCTTGGATGACGTGGCTGATACGATTAGTGCCTGCGTGACAGAGATGGGATGAGATTGATGTGAAGGTTCAGTTGGTTGGACATAAAGGTTGACTGCTTGAAGAGGGCAGATTAACAGACAGACAGACGGGCCAGGTGATCAATAGATAAATCCCAGACAAATAGGAGATCGTTTTTTTAAAAGACCAGTGTGTATGATTTAGTGGTATCTAGCGGTGAAGTTAGAGATTGCAAACATTTTAATAATGCTTGCCTTGAGGGCCAGTGTTTGGTTCGTCCATTCTGGGCTACTGTAGAAACATGGCGGTTTAACATGGCGGATAAAAATGGCTCATTCTAAGGTAACAAAAAACTCGATTCTTATATAGGTTATACACTTATAAAAACATATCTATAAATATGATATTTTATTTCTGCCAATAGATCATCCTAAATATTAGACACCAGACCTTTAAGATTTCTGCTTTTATTGTCCTGTATACACACTGCACCCATGGACGTCTCTATATAAATAAAGTTTGAAGGAATGAATCTATTGACTTGCCTTTTCCCCACACCAGAATGTTTCCACTTGAGTCTCCTGTGATGGCATCTCCGTTTTCTGCAAAGGTCACACACAGCACAAACTTGGGCTTCTCCTGTTTCTGCAAGAAACACAAGAACACACACATATTGTTTCATTTTTGCTAAACTGATAGTCTTTATAAAGCTATGGATAGGATTTAATTCCAAGACCGGTGGTCATGATTTAATTTGTGCCTCAAATGCTATTGCTATGGTATTGATTTAACATGTGTGAAACAGTCTGGTGTCTTACCTCAAACAGGCCTTGCTTCTTGACCAGAACGCCTTTCTCCAGGTTCCAGAAATAGAGGTGGGACTTGCCACAGGTCACTATAATGTTGCAGTCTGTCGGGTGAAAGTCTGCAGCAAACACCGACTCATTGGAGCACTGAACAGAAACACATATAGCAAGAAACAGTGAGTTGTGTCAAATACCTGCACTCTGGTTTAATAGAAAACATACTTCAAGCAGGATGTTATGTTTTATCTTAATTAGTCTATTTAACACACATGCACACACATACCTTGACCTCAGCCAGCCTGTCCTCTCTCTGCCAGTCCCACACGGACAGGACATGGTCATTGGAGTCGTCTACGACACATAATGTGTTTCCTCCATTCTAGCAAACAGAAATAGACACAAACTCATGTTTATGTACTGACAAATGGTATACAAGAGACCGTAAACAGTCAAAAACATGTCAGAAAAGTCCATCTGTGGTGTTTTCTTACCGGCTTGGAGAAAGCCAGGCAGACCAAGGCTCGGTCAAAGAAGCCTGTGCCCAGAACATGAAGTGTGTTTAGGCTGACCGAGTCCCACACACGGACATGAGGAGCCAGCTGCTGCGAGGAAAAAACACACACAAACATGGGCACAAAACCAGGAGAGGAATATAAATCAGTATATACTGTGATGTAGGGATGAATTTACAGAGTGAGAACACAGAGTGAATGCATTTCTCGGTTGGCTAAACATAATTTCATAAAGAAAACAGCAAAACCATACTCCTCACTCCAATAATAAATCAGACGCTGCAAGCTAAAGTGATAAAATATCAATAAAGGCCTCACTTACTTTCCCATCTGAAGAGGTGCCCGCCACCTGCCCAGTTGCTATGGTGATTTTGTCGGGGTGGACGGCCAGGCTGGTGAAGAGAAAGACGAAGAAGTGAAAACAGACATGAAACCAGTTAAAAGCCTTTCAACATCAAAAGGAGTGTGTGAATAAAGATGAGCAATGTGCTCACAGAACATGAAAGGCTGCATTTGGTTTTTAAAGCTGTGGATACTATGTTCACTGTAGCTACCACACGCTGTCTGTGCTAATGTGAGGGGGAAACGAAACAGTTTAAGATAAACTCATCTCTCTTTTGGGTATGGCGGTGAAGCAACACTCATGTAAAGCTCTAACATTTTGTCTTCAAAGGACTAAGAATCTGTTTGCAATCCATCCTTTGATCTGTAATCAAAAGCATACATTAATAATTTGAACTTTTTTTAACCCCACAGTGTAATAACATAATCATGGACGTGTCTTTTTAAGGTTACCCTGAACTACACACCTTCTCACAGACATCCTTTCATGCCTGTGCATTAATGCCTGCAATGCAAACACACACAACCCTGTTTACCTGTTACCTTCCCTTATTATAGTTCTTCAGCAGTAATAGTCAAAGATACTGAAAAGCATCCTCATCCTGCTGTCCTACCACCTGTGTTAGTGTTGTGCACTTACTAGGTTTGAAGAAAAGAAAACATGCTCTGATACAATCTACAGCCTGTGGGGATTGTACAAATCCTCACAGGCTGTAGTTTAACTCTAACAGGGAAAAGAAATCAAAGGTAGACAACAGATGTGACATGGGCTGCAGTTGAATGCATGTGGAAACAGTCCCTCGGGTTAGTGTGTGTGTGCGTGTGTGTGTGTGTGTGTGTGTGTGTGTGTTTTATAACCCCCACGTGTCTCTTACCATTTGATGTCATCTGTGTGTCCAGTGTAGTGTCTCTGCAGCTGCTCGTCCACGTTGAACAGGACGACCACAGAGGCAATGAAATACACAGTTTCTCCAGTGGGCAATAAGTAAAGGTTGGAGCGACAGTCTCGACCGCGGTAACCATAACTGCACATTAATGAAGGTCAAGGAATAAAAGAATAATATCCATAGTACAGCTGAAACTAATAATAGGTTGTTAGACAGAAAATTAAGTCATTTTTCAAACAAAAATGCCAAACATTCCCTTGTTTTTTTCCCTCTGATAGTACACTAAATATCTTTGGGTTTTAGACTGTTGTATAAAACAACCTTTGACAACAGCAGCACAGGCTACAGGATTTGACATTTTTCCACTCTTCTATAGTTTAAAAGATGCATTGAGAAAATAATTGATTTAAATAAGTGTTAGTTGCAGCCCTAATCCCACGGATTAAAAAGTTATTTTTGCTCTCTACGTTTAGAGACAAACATTGACATTTAGTTATTTAACAACATGAAGGTCAGAGACCACAGCAAAACTTTAAAATGCATTCAGACTACTCTTTCCAACATTCAATCATCTACTGTGTGCATGTGTCTAATTTATTCTCATAATCTAGCTGTAATTTAGTTCATATTGGATTTAACACAAAATATGCAGCCCACATATATATGCGTTTGTATTTGTGTGTGTGTGTGTGTGTGTGTGTGTTTGTGTGATTCTCTCCTCAGATTTAATCTTCTCTTTGTCTCCCTTATGGCTTTTTCCCCTCTGAACAACACACTACATTCATTCTTTCATCAGCAAATGAAAGAAAAGAGCGAAACCGCAACATGAAACAAAATAAAAATAAAACAGCACAAGAGGAGCTGCTGACTGGTTTTGTCTCAGCCTGCCAGCTGTGTGCAGGTTATTACTGACTGCAGGCTGCAGAACGATGAGCGCCACTCCGACCACGGCAGCCCTGCACGGTGAAAAAGAACATCTGAACAGATCTACTCTGACAAGCAGGGAGGGGAGACGACACATTTGTCAGCTTCCTCTCTTAACTACATCACAGGCCAATCTGGATTTACTCTCCTCAGAAGATTAGTTTTCAAACTCTTTCCAAATCACAAGCAGGACTTTTTATTTCCTCGGAAAATTCCCTGAGCAAGAAAATAAATAAAGGTGGTATCACACAGGTAGCGTGAGTTCTCTGTCTCTTGCTTTTTTGAAACAAGCCGCAGTGAAAGGATACACCCAGTCCAGTTTGAGTTTGTTGTTAGGCAGGTCGGCTCTGGCCTCCAGGCAGTAGCTGTCCACCTGCTCTTTGGGCATGAACATGGTGATGGGACGACCCTTCAAGTACATTTTCACATATCCTTCCTCTAGAAAAAGCAACAGACAGGATCAGTGAGATAATATACACATAGAGAAATACAAATGTCACTGGTGGGATTATGTCAATATATATTTTTTAAATACATGACACTATGTAAAAAGCACAGACTTGACACTGAAGCATAATACAGTGTTATGATGGGAATGACAATGGGTGACAATGTTGTATGTGTGAGGAGATTAGAGGATAATGGAGAGATGTGATATGCTACGAAAAGGACACTTAAAGACAACAAATGACAGAATTTGCAAACACAAACAAATCAGCTTTTTAACTGACTTTATTAGTCATTTCAAAAACAATCTTATGACAACAAAGAGCGCAAAATGAACGGCAAACACTTTCAGAACTCGTCAATATTCAGCTCACAGCAGAAGTTAACCAACATAAAATGCAGACACAAGCACAGCAATGAAAAAAACAAAAAAACAAAACAATCCAAGCTTAGAAAAGCGGATAATGAGAAATCCTCATCAATTTAAAACATGCTAACACTGAAAAAGAATCCATGCAAAAAACATCAAGGGAACCAAAACAAACAAAGTTAACCATTAACGTCCACAGATGTTCTTTTTTAAAAGCTCATTATAAGAAAAGACTGTAATATATAAAAGTCCCCAGTCTCACCCATAATACACCGTGATATAATAGACTTATGTAATATAATAGACTTATGGGTAAGACTGCAAACTGTTTATTGTTTCTTTTTATTTGGGGATGCTTGAAAACCTGCAATCTCTCTGCAACTTCTTTGGTATGCGAGGACATGTGGCCATTTGGTGTTTTAATGGTACAGATCTGATATAAAAACGTGAAATGGGCTCTGTGCTGAAAACTGCAAAAAACATTTAGATATAGAGATGTGATTGTTGATATTCTGCATTTCCAGACTTAGCTAGTAACAAATCTGGAAATACTGGCTGGGAGACTTGATGGGGCTACGATAACTGGGTGTATCGAGGGGAGAGTATGATGACAAACTCCCTGACTTTCTCAACTGGAGGTTAAAATTGGGGGTCTTTCTGACCGGCGGCACCTTGGCGGCACCACTCTTTCTGGCCATGCTGGCCTTCCTGCTTTCTGAGGTTTGTTGCGAGCTGGTGGCTGAGCGGGCCGTTACAGCCGATACTGCGGGGCTGCCGCTGCTCCCTGTCCGTTTGGCAGAGCGACTGAGGTAAATCTGTACTGTGACTATAATGTAGATGGGGGACAAGAGCAGAGGAGCCAATGATGGAGAGGAACGGTGGAGGTTGTCAGGGCCAGTTGGGTGGAGTGGGCCAAACGGGGACGAGCAGGGGTGAAGGAGCAAGAAACGTAAAGGGTGGAGGAGGTTGGGAGAATAAGTTAGACAGATGTAATGGCTGTTTTTGTGTCACATTTAGTATAAAGCATCATTAAATTGGCAAGACAGGAACTATCAAAAGGAAACTAGGGGACTCTATAAACCACCAGAATGTTGAGAGTTATCATCAAACACTGGGATATTATCTTTGAAGAAGTAGTTATTAGAGGTTTGGAGTGGTTACATAAAATTTGTTTCTTTTTTCTCTGTCTCTTATGAGTAAGATTCTGGCTCATTGGTCTAAATCAGTGGTTCCAGACCCAGGGGTCAAGACCCATATGATTAATCTGAGAGATGTAAGATGATTAAAGGAGAGAATTCTTTCTTTTTTGGTGACACACAAATCTGAGTAATTCCCAAGAAGCTTCTTGGAAAAATATGAATATTTTCCAATGAATCAACCTATAACTAATAGTCTGTGTAATGTAGAGTCTTTAAATCAGCTGAACATCCACAAATGTGAAACAGGCAGCATACAATTCAGCATATATGGAGGACTACTTAATAAATATAGTATTCACATGGGTTTCAATGAGAGTCTTCTTTTCAAGAAAATTCCTATTTTCCCTTTAAATAACATTATAATTATATTTATAACTATTCAGACTAAAAAAACTGAGAGTTTTAAGAGAGAAAATTACTCTTTGAGACTAAACTGTTCACAACACATACTGTACATGTAATGTATGCAACCTGTGATGAGTGGACGCAAGCTTCTGCTTAATTTTAAGGGGTCACCAGCCAAAACTGTTAAGAACCACTGGTCTAGATGCTTTTCAAGGGTAAAAAACATGCTGTTTAAAAAATGAATTATCCTGTTACAAGACAGGGTAAACAGCAATATATCTGCGAGGAAATGAGCTTTCACGCCAGTCTTTCTTAAATTCTTTGTGAATACTTGAAGGGGACTACACACAAACAGACGACACTAGAGGCCATGGAGAAAACTATAAGCAGTAAAATCAAACAGACTTTAATAGGAACTACCCCCAAAAAGAGACTGAATGTGTTTGTAATTCAAATATTCATTTTGAGGGCAGGAAGATAATAAGAGCAGCAGCGAAATCTACTTGCTCTCAACTGCAGTGAGGATTTAAGTGTTCGCAGAAAAAACTCAAAGCAACTGCGAGGAAGCGAGTGTCAGAAATCTTTGTGTTGTTACTATGGTGACAGAGACTAAATGCCTACGAGCGAAAGCGAGGCTGTGAGCAAACACGCACACGTTTTTTGTGAAGCTGCAGCTTCAGCCGCAGTTAAACAACAAGTGTAGAGACACACGAGTGAACTGCAAACACTGCAATCACACTCTGACTCAGCTCTCAGTGGAGGTTAGGGAGGATGTGTGTGTGTGTTAGTCTAAAAACAATAAAGGGACGGTAACTTTCACACACACACACTGTCAACCCACTCCTGCCCCTGTCTGGACAGCTCCCTGATCACAGCACTGAGGGGAATCTATACATTTTCAATAGAATATTTAGTGAAATCTAAACAGGATATTAATTAAAATTTCAAAATAATAGCCCTGGTTTTATCTTTTGAATGTACAGAGATCAAACCAAATCATCTGCAGTGTCCAGAGAGCTGTGTAGGCAGAGGGCTTTAGGGGAGAGGAGGGGAAGGGGGAGCCTACCTTTGCAGTGGGTCACACGTCGCATCCCTTGTAAAGGTCACAGAGAGAGACACAAGCACGAGGTGAGGGGTGGAATGGCTTCCTCACCTCCTGGTCTGTCCTAATATGACTGCACTTCCTGTTTCCTGCTGTGATGGACAGCGTCTATCCTTAATGCTCTTAATGAATCAGTGCTTCTTCCTTAATGGTCTAAATGAATCAATGCTCATTTCCTGCGTGATGGTGTCCCACCCTCTGCTCCGTTCTGGTGAGTGATTACATTTATCTGCCTTTTGTTCAGACAGATACAGAGGATTTTGTTTAGATTCTAACATTTTTTTCAGCTGTTGTTTCTAACTATTCTTTATAATGTAAAAGTAAAAGAAGCAAACACATGTGCTTGAACTGGCTTGCAGCACATTGTATCAAATGAACCACTTTGCATGAAATCCCTTCATGTATTGCAGGTAAGCATTATATTGGCAGAATTTACTGTTGCAATTACCATTTGTATTGGTTAATTGTCACCCAGTGGCAGTTTATGTCCATGACACTGCCCTGATTGTGCCGCTTTGATTCGATTACTTGTCTGTAATTAATTCAAATGTCCAATAAGTGGTGTGCAATAGTTATAATTAACCATTTGGCTCACATTCTCCTAATAGTCAGCATAAGCCTTACAGATATTTAAAGAGCATTGGCTTTCACAGTCACATGATGATATGTGATTTACTGTGGAAACTGAATGCATTAACATTTCTACCTCTTTATCTGATGGTTTGCAAATATACAAATAAAATGTAATTGTCTATTTTATATGTGGATCATATTTGCTATAATTGGACCTCAAACAAAAAACTAGAGGTAGTTTGTTAGAATGCAAACTAAATAAAAGAAAACTGGAGCCAGGTGTTTAAACCAAATGAAAAACAGCAGTTAAATTTACACAAGAATCAATAGCATGCTGGAGATGGAAATTCTGATCAATACTCATTTCATTTCATATTCAGCCCCCTTGTCTTGTTTCCATGTGTTTCCTGCTTGTGAAATGTCCGTCTTGTCTGTTCGTGCAGAGTTCTGGAAACACTACAAACTCAAATTTTAATGGGAGGCTCATCCTGAGCTTTATTAGCTCTTCTCTCTTTTGTATGTCTCCTAGCTTACAAATATCACATAAGCCACTGAAAAGATGTAAAAAGTCTGCCAGAAAACGAGAGGAATCATGAGTTAATGCTATCTTAGCAAGGTTGCAGGGTGCTATCTTCAGATAAAGACAGCTATTACAACTTAATAATAAAACTTAATTGATAAATTGTAGTATTTTTTAACCTAAATCTTATTCTCATTAACGCAGCCATAATGACTGTGGATGATACACTTGCCCCTTCTGTCTCAGTCTTTAGTCAGGTTGCAAAGTTTGATGACCCATCGTCAGAATGACCCAAACCTTAAACTTTATACAATTAAAGTTCGATATAAACAACACAGAAAGAGCTTAGTAAAAAAGAAAAGATGAATGGAAGTATGGATGTGAAGATGTAGTAATGGATGGAGTGGACTGGTTACTTGTGGATGAAGGTATCATGAAGATGATGAATGTTTGACACTGATGTTTAGGACACAACATCCTGTAGAGAAGCCCTCAGTGGTTCTCTGTGTGCAGAAAACAGCTCAAGGCACTGACTCAAATTAAATCTGACACCAATTTCTGTCTTCTTTTGGGAATATACAAAAGAAAAATAAATAATTCTTTACTTTGACAGGATTCCCTCAAACATGCATTGAGCTTTAACTGACACAGGGAGCCACTGAGTATCTGGTGTGTAATGGCTCTCAGTGGGTTGTATAATAGCATGAAACTATCAGAACTATCAGGCTACAGAGCCATAAAAGAGCCTCTTGTTCTTACCTGCATTGAACACTGGGTCCCTCTGTTTGCTGCAAAGTAAATGAGTAAACAGACAGCTGTCATTCAGCATCCTGCTTCCAGATAAACCATTCATTTCAAAGTGCTTTATAAGAAGACCAGTGTGTTTTCTGGTGGAAAAATCAAAGACACAAACAGCTTCCTGTCTTGTGTGAACAGAAAGCATCACTGACTGTGAAGATGAATGTGTGAGAATATTAAATAGGGAATGATTTTAACGTTATGTTACCTGTCACTTCTTTTTCCGCTGGAATTGCTGCCAGTGGATCCGGCGCGAGTTCGGTTGCCCTTGGAGTCGCCCGAATCTTTCCGTGTAAGGGTTCCCACATGTTCGTTTGAGTTGGCTCTCCTCACAGTGCTGTGGTCAGACGGACAGAAGCAAAAAAGAGAGCAAGAGAGGGGAGGGAGAAGCACAAGAAATAGGTCATAAAACTACCTGACGCTGCTTTTCTAAAAATGCCCTCTGGTTAAGTTTTCATCCAGGAAATAGCTTTAGAAAGCAGGTATAAGGAAGATGTATTTATTTCATGATTCAGCTTCAAAAAAGTGTGACTACTTCCAGCAGTGGCAGAGAGAATTTGCACCAAAGCAACTTCAGTACTTTTTCTGTTTACTTTTACACCTTACATTTCTACACAAATATCTGTACTTTCTTCTCCTTACATTTTCAAAACCGGCTTGTCACTTATTGTGAATTATTATTATTATTATTTTGCATCATTGCACACCTTCCTAACGTCAAGACCGATGCATATCACGCATGATGATATAGAGAACACAAAACAAAGAAGAGAGTGAGACTCGGCCCTTTTTGTAGTTTCAGTTAGCTTCACACAGAAACAGCTAATAGTAATGTCCTTCGGAGAAACCAAGAGACACATTTCAGAGCCTGTACGTTTTCACTTTTACTTAAATAAAGAAGTTGAATCAGTACTTCTACTTTGAGTCTTTTTTTACACAATATCTGTACTTACTCCACTCCAGTGATCACAACTACAACATGAGTACAGACCTGTGCAAATCTGCATATTAGTGGCGCAGACAGCCTGCCTATTCACAACAATGAAAAGGCTCCATCAGCAATCCAATGGCCAGTAGGCCCAGTCACCTAATCCACCCTATGGGAGAAACGTCTATTCAAATCCTAAAACTGGCCAGTGGCTGTTATCCCTTCTGGAGAGCCTGTGTGTGTTTGTTCAGTAAAGAGCAGAATAGAATAGAAAGAAGAGAAAGAGAGAGAGAGAAACCGTTGTTTGCTGTATTATCCCATGAGGAATCATAGTAATTGGGCCACAGGGCATTGGGGAAGGCTGTTGTATGTATGCCAGCACTGATGGGATTGTGACCAATCTGCAGTTTAGACTAATCCCAGGCACAGACAGTAAACAACACAAACTCCAAACAACGACGAGTTCACCAACAAACAGTGAATATTAGCAATGAGAGAAATGGTGAATGGGGATGTCACAGTTATCGCGTAGCATGGTGACTGATTTAATAACATGGTTAGCATGCATCAGAGCTGTGATGCGGCCATGATGTTATATAGTGACCAGTTTACTGTAACTTTCTCTCACCTGAGGGGCAGGTAGAGAATTCTGGTAGAGCGAGACAGAGAAGACAAACTGGACAGATTGGCAGGACATCACATTGTAGGAGGACGGGACATAAAAAGACACCATCATTGGAAAGGAGATGTTATCAGAGAGAGGTACCACATAGATAAACAGAGGAGACGACTGACGACTCATATTAAATCCTTATTAATCAAACTTAAGTATCTTGCCACTGTGCGTACTGAATCTATACCAATCACAAATTAGGAGATTTATATGAAGGGGATTGTGGTTTCACATAAAGAACGATAAGCTTCATCCAAGCCGAGACTGAGGTCATGTGCTGGGTTTAAACAACCTTGAGGGAATTAAAAGCTTATTTTATTGGCCCCTTTCACTATTTTACGCTCACATAAATAATAATAATTAAGGACTAGAGGCTTTTGGTTAGAAAATATAACTGAACAACACCCATCATGTTCTCTTATTCCCTGATGAAATGTCTTTTAAATTGTCCTGTATCCGCTATTTATGTCTCTGTTGTTTTGTCTCTTGTCTAGCAATTTAAAAAAAATAAAAAATATAGAGATGTATGTCTAAAATCCTGACTACGCCACAGTATCCAAGGAAAAATAAATAAAATAAAATAAATGATAAATTAAAAAAAAAAGTAATTAAAAAGTCAAATTCCTTTCGAGTATGTTCAAAGTTCAAGAAATCATGAAGTAGAAAGAGTCAGTTACACAAGAAAACACAACAAGACCAAATCACATTTCCTGGACTGATAGTGTCTTACTTGGGGTTTGTTCCTACCAGCGACCCTCATAGTGGTTACATTTCAATCTGCAGAGCCATTTCTTTATTGTCCTCTCCAGTAAACCTCAAGGTGAGAGTCAGCGAGCATTATAAGAATCAACTCTCAGTATTGGAAAACACCCTGAAGCAGGAATAAAAGTACAACACACATGGAAAATCAAAGAAGCAACGCCACAGGGGAGTTCACAGCTGTCTGGACTGGAGCTGGTCCCTGCTGTCTGCTGAGCTTCATCTGATTATGGTAATGTCATCCAGAGATGGGAAAAGGCTATTGTTTCTCTGACAGACAAGATTGATAACCTATGCTCCACATGCATGTATAAACACACACACACACAACAAAGAAGCAGTGACGGTGGTGACAATACTGTTTCTCTGTTTATCAGCCTTGTTAAATGTCAGCCAAAACGGCTGATAAAAAGCCAGTGATGTGACGATTTATGGCTCAAATTATCTGACGTGGCACAGACAGATAGGACAAAAAAAAAATGCCTCGAGACAAATAAAATGTCTGGAAGAAAAGACCTCACACAACCTGGCCTACATTGAGCTTCTATTTGGATTTAACACATTTACAACAGTGTTAACAAGGCATGAAGCTTCAGTAAAAAAAACTAGTGAATTTGGCAAAAACCACTCCTCTCAGAGATGTAGCCCAAAGCTGTTATTTTTAAGGTGCGAATAAGCACCTTAAAAATAACAATAATGGAATAATATAACAAAAATTGAGTGGTTGAGCATTATTTTTCTTTTCCCCCACCTCTTGTTGGCTGTTGTGCTGGTGTCCTTCCTGGATCCTGATCCGGATGGGGAGGGCAGAGTCCCGCTGCCTTTCTTTGGTAGGATGGTCCCGTTGTTTACCGTGGGCCGTAATGGCAGGGTGGCAATCATTGGCCTAGCTGGGGGACAAAGGACAACAACAGTGGGCATTTTGAGAACTATGCAGGATATGCTAGTATCAATTGGAGATAAAGTAACGTGTGAGAGTGTTACAGTATGCTGGTCAGAAAAATTGCATTTCCTGGTGTATAATATCATCTTGATAATGAGGAAAAATGTGTATAAAACTGTATTTAAACTTAAACATTTAAATTTAATTTTAAAGGTAAATTTAAAAAAAAATTGTGGTGTGGAAAGCTTCCCCGCATGCACTACAACTTTCTGTTAATGCATGTTTCTACAGTGTTATCAGTGCTCCTACAATTCACCTCTTGTTATTTCAGTATTAGGAGCAAATATGGTTGGAGTGAGAGTTGTGTGTAGGTCCAAGAAATCCTTCAGACATATGTAAAGGTGGTTAGTTATAGTGCTGACAATCAGTTCTGAAAAGCTAATAAATAATATTACTAAACTGCACACCTTGATTTAGAATAACTCAACATTTCTTAAGTAATGTGGCCAAAAATAAATCATGAAATCAAATGAAAGAAATTTAAATGACAATAATAATAAACATTATAAACTTTCTTATGAATATCTAAAGTTTAAGTTTTGTTTTTGCATATAAACTTTTCTTTATCCACCTTTTGCCATTAAAAATGTGTAATTACGGAAAGATCGCTGTGTCCTGTGCCCTTCCCTTTTTGTTGTTGGTTAATGCAATAATGATGGTAATAAAAACTTAAATTGAACTGTAATACTAGGTAATATCAACTCATGTAAAGCATACCAATTATTGTTGGAGCTTTAAACACCACACATATAAAATACTCCCTCTGCATCATCAGCTCTTCAGTGAGGCTTCAAAGAGATATGAAATAATTGCACAGTGGAATCATCAGGACAAAAGTAGAGGCAGCACATGAGATTCCTATAATCCCAAATGTAATTCAAATATGAATCATCTTAATTTTTATGTTCTTTATTGTATTAATAATATTGTTCTATTTCAACCACTTGTCCATACAGACGATATATGTTTACAAATAATTTACAGGGGGCATGCACACACACATTCATGCACACACACTCTCATGCACACGTGCCAGTCAGGCAAGACCCGAATAACAAATCCAAGCTGCTGCTTTATCTGCAGTGATAAATATTTAATAGACCCTGTTCATCCAGCAGACACACATACACACACACACACACACACACTCAGGCCTACACACACACACACACATATTGCTCTGTTATCTTTCATGTAGTAATTACGCAGCAGGGGCAAACTGAGGTTGTAATTTTGTTAGCATGTTAAAGAAGATGAATGTGTTTCTGTGTGTGTCCAAGGCGGTACAGCCTGCGTGCACGGGTTGAGCTTCCTGAAGCAGATCATTGTGCTTCAGTATAGGGAAGCAGGCTGCTGGCTCCCTGCAGCTAAAAGTGAAGAACAATAAGGGAAAGCAGCTCTGAGTCTGAGTCATCCTCCAGCTCCCAAATCAAACTGAAACTTTATCCATCCACAGTCACTCCAGAGACTGAAACTGGCAGTGGCTCAGAATCATAATCTGTGTCTGTTTCATCACTCAAATGCACATTTGAGGTCATAAAAAGGCATGAAGGGCAGCTGATTTCACATGCAGACCTGATCAGCCTCTTGATGTTTTTTCAGAAACAGATTGTATCACACGCACCTCAGCTGAAAATTGACACATGCAGTATAGTTACACAAAAAAAGCAGCACAAAAACAGAACTCCTTTCTGTTTTTGTGCTGCTTTTATTGATCAGTCTATGATATTCAGTGCTTTCTTATTCTGTGATGACGTGCTGTTTTTTTCCTTTTCTGTGAGGTTGGCTTTCTGACATTGCTCACAGTTACTATACTGGGAGAACAGAACATGCTGCATTCAGGTGTGTGCCATCAGGTGGAGAAAGCAATATTAAAAGTTTAGTGGATTAAGAGTAGCTCTTTTTCTTTTTTTTGGTTTAAGGGGTAATTGTCCTTTACAGAAAATGTTGCATACAGAGGTAAAGAACATGTGTGGGTTATTCTCACTAAGTTGTGACAGTTCATTGATAATTTTAAATTATCAATGAGTTCTTGGACTTCACAACATCACAGAGAGGGCTGTTGAGCGTATATACTGCACACTAATGTCCCCTGGTTAACAATAAATCTATTTCTATCTTCAGACCGACAGTGCATTGACCTCAGGCAGTGTAGTACTAAAAGTAACTGTGTGTTTCCTACTACATTATATACAACATAACACCAGCAGGCAGTGACTGAAATGTGCTTCTTGTACACCAGGCCTGGTTAGTGCAGACAGACTTCACAGTCAGCCTACCTGGCTTCGCAACATTGCTGTCTGCTGAGGGAGACTTTCTCATCAAAGCAGGGTCTATACACATAACGCACAACAGGTTTAACAATACAACACAGTCCGGGAAAAGAGAGGACAGGAGGGAGAGGAACAGGAGATCGATAACTAGTCAGAGGAAGGAAAATAAGTGGGATTTGAAGGAGACATAATCTGGAAAGAGGGAAACAAAAGTGGAAAAGGACCCCAGAAGAAAGAACTGAAAAAAAACCATGCTTATTGTATGTATGTAAGTTACCTTTGGTGGGTCCTCTGCGTGACCCCATGGCCTGCTGCTCCTCGGACACATTGAGCCGGCGCACCACATCGGCCAGAGCAGACTTTAGCAGCTGAATCTCGTCCTCCTGCATCTGGACCCGCTGCTCCAGGGAGGCGATGCGGTCAGTCACCTCCATACTGCTGGCTGCCGATGCACTGTCATCTGAGGAAACACAATGAGCTCATGTCAGAGACGTGGGAAAAGTCACAATATATTAGGACCTATTGTGGCCTTTGATATATTATCAAATATAACAGTTAAGTCAAAATATATATAGCTGTAGCTTCATAGATATGCTGTATAGTTTCACATTTATCGTATAAATATGAGAATAGTATCAATATTCTCATCTTACTCTCAGCAAGAAAGCAAATAAGTGTCCCAAATTGTCAGACTATTCATTTTTTTTTTTTTTTTTCAAA